ATAATGATCATCTCGTATGCCTCGTCTCTGTTTCAAAGAATTGTAATGTTTCCATGTACCAGACGCTACATCGTGCACCATTACAGTCCAATGCTTTTCATGGTATATCGGGTAATGTGTGCATTTGTGCCCACTTGCAGCCTTTGTGTGCACATTGAGGTACTTTGTCCTCGACACTGCACTACAATTCCTCATCATGTCCTGTTAGTATGTGGACCATCAAACCATTTCAATTGGAAATTAATACTAAATGTCAAATGTCAGTGGTGAGGGTTGTAACAGAAGCGTGTCAGAGATGAATTTCACATACCGCACATACACTACTATACACAGGACGTGTCCCATGTTTTGTTCTCTTTACCAACTTCTTTTGCAAATCCATCAACGCAGAAGCGTATGTGTCGATTACCTACACCATCCTATTTGTTAATTTCGCAAACACACATTAAAAAACTGCAACGTCACTTAAATTACAACATTAAATATAAAATTATCGTTATCATGAACATACGTTCCCATGGATTGAGCCCTGCTTCACCAAATCTTGTGTGTCAGTAAAGTGAACTAGGGTCCTATTGTGCAGCTCATCCCAAATTATTGCGCTGTAAACCAATGGTGGCAGTTATTGTCAGTGCTACAATATCACATATCAAACACATTAACAACATCAAAACACAATTTTTTTTTTAAATTGAAACTCACCCATCACCATCATAGCTGCATATATTCTCCAACATTTGCCTTTCATCGTCGCTCAGCATGTTCCAAATTGCATGTCTTCTGTTCATACCAAACCCGTTCCATGTTTTTCGTTCCACATCAACATCGTCTACAGTGTATAGTACCCCAACTTCATTTCCCTTATTGATTGTCACTTGCGCATTATGTTTTCCACATCCAACAACCTCTGTGTACTCGTAATCAGATAGTTTGTATTCCTACCTTGGCTTCTCCTTAACATGCCGTATCAATGATGTTATTAACGGTTGAGGCATGTTGTGCAAACGTTTAAAACTTTCCCCACTAACTACACAGTCACGTCCATCTTCCTGCTCCACCATGCCATACCTAACGGCTGGGTGTTCATGGTCACCCAATGATTGAGGAAATCTACATCTAGCAGTCTTTACAAATCCTTCATTCCCAGCATCCAACTCCTCCATAGATGCACCAAATTCTATTGCTACCTCAAGGATGGGGACGTTAACACTGCCTGGTGAGTTAGCATGCTTCACACTTCCACTGCTTGTCCTGTCCCCTGACCCCCTACCTTCAGCTCCCACACTTTGCAAAGGTGTTCTTACGTTGGTGCCATCCTTCCCAACTGTTTGTGTCACTACATGAACCTCACGGTCGTCAACGTCATCCTCTAATTTAGGTATTATTGCCTCTATTTGCCCTATCATCTTGTTCAGCCGTGCGATTTTAGCATCTTTCGTCACTATAACACTATCAAACCCAATAAATATATTTGCATCCTGTGCGCCTAACATTCTCTCCATTGACTCAACCCTACCATCCAACTCTCGCACACATTCAGACTTTGCTTTAACTTCATTTTCCAGCTCTTCAATTCTATGCAAAGTAGTGTTAAGTTGCTCGGTGGGTTCATTTGTGTCCTTACGGATAGCGTCATCTGTAGGTGTACTTGATAGGTCTAGAAGGTCAGGGAACAGTACTGGCCATGTTTTGCTTGCAACTAATATCTTCACGTAATCTCTGCTTGATTATTACTTTCGTTGTATGTTATGACCATGCCATTATGTTAATTGTGTATTTGGAATGGGAAAAGGGTTGGGGTGTGTGTGTTTACTGGGCATTCCAAGCTCATGGCGTTTTATGCCAGGTGAAGGCGAGTTTTACACCAAGAACTGAACCCCTAAAAGCTTTGTGGAACCGTGGCTACCTTAGAAATTAGATTGTATATTTCCTGTATTTTGGATAATCTTTTGTATCAAGGAACCGATATGTATTTAAAGACTTGAAGAATTTTATCTGTAACTATTATTAATATTTTATTTTAGTGTAATTATTTGCATTTTGTGCTTAAAAATGATGTACCCTCTAGTTAAACCCCGGTGCATCGTTGTATTATATTATCAAAATTTGGGGCGTCACATATGCTGTAACAGATCTGCACTGGGCAAGCATCAAGACCCGGCCTAGCTTCACTGATGCACGACCGGCTATCACTAATGCACGGTTAGCCATCAGTGTGACATCAGTCAGTGTTGTCCAGGTGTCATGCTCAGCACCTTCTCAGACTCTATAAATAATGTTTCCATGCTGTTTTTCTAGTAAACTCACAAGTTCTTGATATTTTGCTCTCAAAATGGAGATGCTACTTGTTAATAGGCTTTGGGACTGGATTTCGCTTTGGATGGCTCAAAAAAGTTAAATTTCCGTAGCTTCGTCCTAAATCCCCTTTTTCCTTTGAGCCGCACTTCTCTTTACTTTCCATTCCTTCATGTCGCGGTTCGGTGTTGGAACCCAATCACACATGTCTTTAGCTTCGGGGAACAAGAAATATACCCGACAATTGAAGAATTTTAAGCATTAATGGAATGCTGGCACGATGAGGAAATCATACCTTAGCCCCATTTTGGCCATGTCCAAGCTTTGGGATGGATGTAAGTGCATACTTTACATGAGGTTTGATTTTTGGTCCACAATGGAGAACTGGATATTCCCAGTCTGATTCATCGATTTTCTAAGGCCGGCGACCAAGGTAATCTTCTTTGGCGGGGTTTTCGGCAACACGCCCTTTGTTTGTGTATGCTATCACATTTCCTTCTTGCCTCTTGTTTTAGCGGGTCTAGCATTCGACTAACTGAGGTGGCACAAGGCCTAAAAGAGGGCAAGAGTTGCATTGGCTTGGTGTTGGTCGAGACTTTGATACGCTTAGACGCCTTCTATTGGCAAGAGACTACCAAATTCGCGTGAAGTCCACTACTTCTTCAGGTAATGTTTCCCACCCGTTCTAATATATGTTTCTCATATCACTCAACATTCATGCTCTGTTTTTCTCTCAAAGCCCTTTTCTCACTTCTCTCTCAACATACATCTCTCTATTTTTTAATCTCTGTTTTCCTTCATCCCTTCCTAGATATGGCTAATGGACAAACTAAAGGTGGTGGACCCTTGCCCCACATACTCAGCTCGAGCGTACTTTTTCCGCCAATAGCTAGTAGATTTTCCGAATAAAGGATAGTGGTGCCACTGGATGTGCAACAGGTCTGCTGTTGACATTGCTTAGCATTGCCCTTGGCTTAATCTAACCGAAATGAGTTACAGCATGACTCAGTAACCTGGCATTGAGCTGATTGGCCTTACACACTGTGTATTTTACTTTCCATTCTGGTTCTGACGTCAATTTGGACATGATGAGACTTGCCCAGAAGAAGGGGTAGAATACCCGATTTCATTCCCCATTCGAGGTTCATATTTGGCGAGATACCTTACTGCTTGGAGGACGAGAGAGCTTCTAGCCCCTGCCCCTAGTTTCAGCTGTGCCCTTTCTGGCGAGTGTTTGACTTGGCTTCAAGATGAGGCACAATCTGGGCCTATTTTGGCATTAGAAGCTTCCACAAGCATGAGCAGGGGACGCAGGAACACTTGACTCATCTAAGCTCCTAGATTATTATTTTGATCTCTACTTTTCATGTGTTATGAATGTAATAAAAGCAACTTTGATTTGTATCAAGAGTTGGAGAACTTTGTATAGAAATCAATCAAATTAAAGTTGTGAGCACTGAAAATTTTCCTTTTGGTTCAAAAATGGTCTAAATTGTAAAAGGTAAAATTTGAACAAAAACCAACTTTTATCAAAAAATTTCAAAACCATTTTCGATAAGGATCACCACTTGACACATACGGAATCTATCCTCGAGATGTACAACCTCGAATCCGGAGATCACAAATTGCCCCTTGACTGAATAGCGCTGCTCAGCACTGTAACCAGCTCTTCGAATAAAGATCACAATCGAACTCTGGGATAAAGAACAGACAAAGATGACCTGATCAACACATGGACAAGATAGTTGAGTTGGAGGTGTTTACAACCGAACTTCGGGATGAAGTTGCCTACGTATCCCGAAGATAGGAATCAGGCCTTATGTAGTTCGGTTCAGGTTCACTCGAGTATTAACGCTCTCTTTTTGCCCTCTAACTTTTGCCAAGGCCGTCCTTTAGGGTTTTCAACCTTGCGAACTCAGTTTTTCTTTATTTTCATTTTTTTTGTGCTCTAACTTTTGCCTAGGTCACCCTTCCGGGTTTTTGGCCTAGCAAGCCTCTCAGAGATAGTATTTCTTCAACTTGTCCATGTTGATCGGTTGAGAAAATTCTACTCCATCCAAGTCCATGAGAATAACAGCTCCACCCGGCCAGATAGTTTTGATGATGTAAGGACCAATCCAATTGGGTCTAAACTTACCCCTAAAGTCATGGATGCAAGCTCGGTTGTCTTTCAGCAGCAAATCCCCTTCTTTAAGATTCTGAGACTTAACTTTCTTGTTAAAAGCCCTAGCAATCCTGCGTTGATAACCCTGAACATGGTATAATGTTTTCAACCTTCTCTCATCAAACAACATCAGTTCTTTGAACCTGCTCTGTTGCCAGTCCACCTCTACTATCTGACACTGAGCCATAACTCGCAAAGACGAAACTTCTATTTCGATTGGCAGAACAACCTCCATTCCATAGACAAGAGAATAAGAAGTATCTCCTGTAGACGTCCGAATTGATGTTCTATAGCCCCAGAGCGCAAACGACAATGTGTCTAGCCAGTCCCTGTAGGTCTTAACCATCTTCTACAAAATATGCTTGATGTTCTTGTTGGCAGCTTTGACAGCTCTATTGGTTTACGGCTGGTATGCAGATTACTTATGGAAAGCCACATTGTATTTCTCTAACAAGTCTATTACTTCCTTCTTGAAGTGAAAGCCATTATCTGAAATGATCTCGTTTAGGACTCCATATTGGCAAATGATGTTGTTTCGAATGAACTTAGCCATATGCACTGCTTTCAATACTGCGTAAGACTGAGCTTCTAACCACTTTGTAAAGTAATCAATTGCCACCAGAATATATTCATGCCCATTCAACCCTTTCAGTGTGACTGTGCCAATGACGTCGATTCCCTAGACTGAGAAAGGCCATGGTGAAGACATGTTGTACCGCTTCGACGGCGCGATGTTCATGCAGTTTGCATGGATTTAGCATTTGTGGCATCGCTGGACAAAACTGATACAATCCTCCTCTATAGTAGACTAGTAGTAACCTTGCTTGAGAATCTTTCGGGCTAACATTTCTCCGTTCATGTGCGCTCTGCACTCTCCTCCATGGATAGCCTCTATTAGGCGCTTTGATTCCTCTGCTTCGATACACAACTTGTGCATTCCCAGATGACCTCTCTTGTACAGTCTACCTCCACAGATGATAAATGGAACGGCCATCTGCCGTATTGCCCTTTTATCTTTGGCATTTGCCCTTGGCGGATAAACCTCATTTTCCAAGAAGTTCTAAATAGCATAGAACCAAGGGTTTTGATCTTGTGCTTCATCTATTGCAGTGATAGTCTCGTAGGCTGGCGTATATCTCTGCTCAATAATGATCGGACACATCCGAACTCCCAACGGGATGCCTATCATAGAAGATAGAGTTGATAAGGCATCAGCAAACCTGTTGTTCTCTCTTATTAGATACGTGAAAGTTAGCTTCTCAAACCTACGAATCAGAACATCCAAGGTCTGGTGATAGATCTTCATCTTTTCTTCTTTGACCTTCCAGTCTCCTTTTGCTTGAGACACAACTAGGTTCGAGTCCCCAATGACGTCCAACCTTTTTGCCTCTAGTTCCAGGGTGGCTTCCAAACCAGCGATACACGCCTCGTATTCTGCTTTGTTATTGGATACCTTGAACCGAAGTTTGAAGACTAAGGATATATGGGAATTGTCGGGTGCTATCAGCAACACCCCTTTCCCGTAACTGTACTAGTTAGACGCTCCGTCAAAGTACATTGTCCAAATCTCTTCCTCGACTTGTAAAATAACTTTATCTGGGAACAGATATTCTGCCACTTCATTCCCTTCCACTGGGTGATCTGCCAGGAACTCCACTACTGCTCTCCCTTTGACCGACTTGTGAGTGACATACTTCAGATCAAATTTGGAAAAGAGAAACAACCAATAGGCTAGACTACCCGTAAGCATTGGTTTTTCAAAGAGATATTTGATGGGATCTAATCTCAAAACCATAATTACAGAGTGAGCTAATAAGTAGTGCCTCAACTTTTTGGTAGCCCATACGAAGGCTAAGCACGCTTTCTCCAACCGGGTATAGCGGGTCTCGTAATCCAGCATTTTCTTGCTCAAGTAATAGATGGCTTTCTCCACCTTATCCTTAGATTCCTTAGCAAGCATGCATCCCATCGTTGTGTCTGTGACTGATAGATATAGAATCAATGGCTTTCCCGGCTCTGGCGGCGACAACACAGGTGAATTCTGAAGGTACTACTTGATCTACTCGAAAGCGAATTGACATTGGTCATCCTATCGGAACTTATTTCCTTTCTTCAGGAGGCCAAATAGTGGTTCACAAGTCAAGGTTAATTTTGAAATAAACCGTCTTATGAATTGCACTTTACCCAGAAAGCCTCGCACCTCCTTTTCAGTTCTTGGTGGTGGCATTTTTAGGATGGCCTTGATTTTGGAAGGATCTACCTCGATTTCTCTCTGTGTGATCAAGAAATCCAGCATTTTCCCTACTGTTATGCCAAAAGTACACTTCTGCGGATTCAACCTCAGTTTGTATTCTCTAATTCGTTGAAAGAATTTTTTCAAAGTGGTGTAGTGGGCCTTTCTTTTTTTGGACTTGACATTCATGTCATCCACGTACACCTCGACCTTTTTGTGGATCATATCATGCAGAATTGTGGTTGCAACCCTTTGATAGGTAGCCTCGACATTCTTCAGCCCAAACGACTTCACTCTGTAGCAGTAGGTTCCCCACGGTGTAGTGAATGTAGTTTTCGCTCTGTCCTCGGGTGCCATCAAA